TTCCAGGCTGTGTATAATATAGGTATTGACATTGAAGATGACCTTCTGAAAGATAATAGTGCGAGAGGAAAGAAGAACGACCATCCTTCTTCTTCCTCTCCCATTAATGAAGTACATGCTACGAACACCTCTAAGCAGCGAATCCAAAGGTCAAAAAGAGTGTTCACTCCACTTGGTATGAGTTATGAAACAGCTTTTGAAAAGCTACACCACAAAGGACTGGTCATGCCCATAGGACCTATCAAAGACCCAGTTCCCGAAGCCAGGCCACCTAAGTGGGATCCTAGTAAACACTGCAAATATCATCAAGGAAAGGGTCACGACACTGAGGAGTGTTGGAAACTCAAAGAAGCTATTCAGGACCTGATTGATGACAATAAAACTTCCGAGATTATAGCCATCACAGAAGATCAAACATCCTTCGATCCTTCACTCCTTATCACACCTGTAGGTGAGCCCATGATCGATATAGCTTATATAACTTCTATTGGTGAAGTGGCCATGATCGAGGAAGATGAAGGGGCTTTCTTAGATAATATCGAGGAAAATTTGTCAAGTCTAAAAGAAGACGTTCGAAAACTACAAGATGTCATTTCCATGCTCTTGAATGTGGTAGAAGAATTAGCAAGTCGGATAATGGTTATCGAACAAAATTCTCACCAAGGATTCAATGAAGAATTCAATGCTCCTAAGCCACGGTCAAAACGGACCATGGAAAACCTCATTGATTCAAATCACATTCATACTCCTCTTAGCAACAGGATAGCCAAGAATAGTACCAATAATAACAGTGGCTGGAAAGGAAAGAAGAACGACAATCCTTCTTCTTCCAAAACTACCCACTCAAATAACGTTAGCACATTTGACTTGGATGAGATCCTTTCCATGAACAAACGAGGGAAAATGAGAAACATCATACCTATTGGTATAATTTATGACACCGCATTTGATCGTTTACATGCAAAAGGTCTTATAACTCCCATTGGACCGTTTGGGGATCCACCTGTCGAAAGGAGGACGGCTAGCTGGAATCCCAACGCATATTGCAAGTATCACCAAGGTAGGGGTCATATTACTGAGAGCTGTTGGAAGCTAAAGGAGGCCATCCAATATTCGATTGACAATAACAAGCTTCCTATACCTCCAGTCGGCAAGAAGACCGAGTGATGATAAAGCACAAGACAAGAGGCGAGCTTCAACGACAAGATTTCGTGACCTCTTTTTTCTATTTCTTTTTTATTCTTTTCCCCAATAAGTCTAGCATAGGCACCTTTCATTTTCCCCTAGTTTTTACTTTGTACAAGAGGGCAAGAGTTCCAATGTCAAACGGTACATTGTACCGTGACACGGCAGTCAGAAAATCTGACTGGTGCCCTGTTTGCTTTTGCGCGCAACCAAGTTATCCAATTTTTCCTACGGGACAGACCTGAATGCGACGTTAAAACGTCTATGCAGATGCAAAAATACCAAATTAATCACAGGAATATTTTTTCAAGAATCTTTCAAGTCTCATCCACTCATCTTAATTAAATACCGATCACTCAAATCGATAAATAATTAAGAATCCTCCCCAGTGGAGTCGCCAAATTGTAGGCGTCGTTTGAAGTGCGCCTACGTTAAAAGCATGTGTGAACATGCTTGGCACTCATAGGAAGTGGGAATTGACATTACGATTAGGGACAAATAAAGTAGGGAGCCGCCAACAAGTTTTTAAGGAACTTGTAAACCGTTCACGGATCATAAAAAGGCAACCACGATAAAGGGACAACGATAGGCAACAACGATTGACCCATGAAGGTTACACCCCATTCATAATCCATGAGATTACTAACTCCATATGGTTCGGAACCACGAAAGGAGGATCGGGGATGATGGTACGAAGTGAGTCATGGAGTCACATTCGCCCGTATTGGCCTCTACTCGATTCTTATATTGAAAAGCATTCCTGTGATCTCAAAGGCATACAAACAAAATATTCAATTTGCTCCAAACTATTATTAAACTAAATTGGTTCAAAATTAATGCACACATAATTCTAAAAATTTGGTGATCACTTCAATTAATAATAAGATTAAAAGGGATCCTAAACCGGTTGTCCAAATTATCTTATTAGGCGTGATTTTCAATTACACATTCCCTTTAACATGCAATATGGTGATCAATAAATAATAGAATAAACATTAATATTAAAACCAATTAATCACAATTCCAACAACATAAGATTGTTAGAAAAATAATAATAATAATAAAAGAGCACGGTCCTTACTTTGAATCTGTTTGCTTGCAACTACAAAATAATAAACGAGTTAGTAACTTCAAGGAAATAATAAAACAATAACTAAATTAAATTAAATAAAATAAGGTTGATTTTGGGGCCAAACCCTCAAACGATTCTACCTTTCACGCCTTGGCTTAAGGACAGAACCTCGAGTAAAATAAGGACTCCTTTGAGTGCTTGAAGAAGGAATTTTGAAGTGAAAAGGGTAGGCTAGTGTTTAGGTTAATAGCATAGAAGAGAGAAAATAAGAATCATAAAATTCTGGTTGCCCTGTACATCAGAAATGAGGGGGTATTTATAGGGAAAATGTGCTGAGGGAGCACACGGAACCCTAAAATGATAAAAACCCTAAAAAAGTATCCCGTGACACGGTCAGACTGTACCATGACACGGTCAGACTTTTATTATTCGGGCTAAAATAAGAAAATAAGAAAATAAAAATAAATAAAATGTTTGGGCCAAAAATAAATAATAAAATAATAAAATAAAAAGGTTTAGGCTTAAAATTAATTAATAAGCTTGGGCTAAAATTAAAACTATGCTTTTACCAAACATCAAAACTAATCCATGGACCTTTCAAAAGTAAGAATTTAATAAAATACGATTTCTTAAGCACTCTCGGGATTAAATACTAAACCCGACCAATAGAGGCGGTGAAAGGTTATTTATCATCGGGTTTGGTTTTGAGGAGACATTTTTAGGTGTCTACAATGACCAAATAGACTTCTAATTAGGAACCCTTTGTCATGAAGTCTTAGCATAACGTTGAAACATGCCTTATCAAAATCACTCATCACTCATCACTCATAATCACCATTGCATCAGGAAGTATGAAGTACTTAGCCTCCGTGCCTAAGTTACCTAAATACTTTCATAATCGAGTCAACTAAAATAGTTTAGGATGAATTAATCCTTGCACCTTGAGGGACAGTATCGAACGCATATATTTGCCTAAGCTCATTCGACATGCACCATCAAACACTTTGATTCTTTATCACGTCTTTTTTTTCGGGAGAAAGTCGGTACCCTCCACAAAAAATGACGGAAAATTTTCGATTGAAAATTTTTGCTTTTTTTGCACATCACACACGAGTCATGTACATTGAGTCATGTCGTGTCATATCACATCGAGTTGAGTCTAACACATGTGTCAAAACACATTAAGTCACACGTGTCAATTCTCCTTGGGTCAACCTCAAGTCAGTCAGTCACATTGGGTCAACCTCAAATCAGTCAATAAGCCTTAGGTCAACCCTAAGAAACACATCAAGACTTAGGTCAACCCTAAGAAAAACACCAGCAAAGTCTTTTGGCAATTCTTTTGATTTTTACAGGATACAACCATTCAGCAAAGCTCCTGTTCGCAGCCAACCGAACGATCGCAACAATCATTCAAGTATCAAGCTCTATTGTTCAGAGACGCGTGGACATATCATCAAAGCTTTGTTGTTCAGAGACGCGTGGACATATCATCAAGCTCTTTTGCTCAGAGATGCGTGGACATCTCATCATCAAGCTCTTTTGTTCAGAGACGCGTGAACATCTCATCATCAAGCTCTTTGTTCAGAGACGCGTGGACATCCTATTAAAGCTCTTTTGTTCAAAGACGCGTGGACATATCATTCAAAGCTCTTTTGGTCAGAGACACGTGGGCATCCTATCAAAGCTCTTTTGTTCAGAGACGCGTGGACATATCATTCAAAAAGCTCCATTGTTCAGAGACGAGTGAACAATCCTCAAAAAAGGCTCCTTTGTTCAAAGACGAGTGAACATCAACAACAGCAAGATGGCGTTCTCTAGCTTGTGGAAGGTCGTCAAAACAACAAAACGGTTACTCTAGAGACGTGTGCAAGACGGTGCAAGATACGTGTTTCTTAAACTGTTTTATCTGTTTAACTAATATTGTTTACATGTATCGGCGTTATAAGAATGATTTGGGATCGCAGAACGTTCTGAATCATTCTCCGTCCCTATCACTACTTTGACTTTAGTTTTCGAAACATGCGTTTCTCCAAACTCAGTCAAAGTGGGGGCTTCTGTAGACACCCATTTGTGTCTCCCCAAAACCAAACCCAGTGATGAATACCTTTTGCCTCGAACCATAATCGAATGAGGTGAAAGTGTGAAAAGACTTGTGTTGCGGTTAGTTTATACTCCCTCCGTCCCGGTTTAGTTGCAACGGTTTGACTGGCGCTGGATTTTATGCAAAGTAATTGACTTGTTTATTATAATGTATGTAAGTTGGTAGTGGGCATTTTTTTATTATAGCTAGTGGAAGTGGGCCATAGCATTTTTTGTGGGGGGGGGGGGGGTGGGGTGTGCTGTTGGAGTGTTGGATACACGTGCCATAACATGTGAATCCAAAAAATTTGATTCCTTTTTAAATTTTTGCCGGCAAACACCATCACCAGAATTCACTTTATAATTTTTCCCTGTTGATTTTTTTGGTGAAATTTCAAATATTTTTGTACACATCCCCTTTTTGAATTTGGAGCTTCCAAATTATGGCCTTTCTATATTGAACCATAATAAATGCTTCTTCTTTATTTCAGCTTCACCTGTAGATTACCAAAAAAAAAAAAAAACATAGCAAATAGAGAGTAAAGAACAAACAGAGAAAAAATATGGGGGTGGGGGGGGGGGGGTTTGGGGTAGAATTAGAAAAAATGTCGTAAGTTTTCTTCTTCAGTTTTCACTTAGATGCAACTAGTGTAGAGTAATCATGTGCATTTTTAGAGAGAAAAGAGAGCTTACAAATGATGCAAGAACCAGAATTGCTAATTGGTTACTAGTAAAAAAATCCACTGGAAAGTTGAAAAGGGGTACCGTGAAAGAAGCATTAGAGCTTTTTGGAGTGCATCGAACCACAATCTACAGAATTTTGAAGCAAGCAAAAGCTCTATGGCAAAACGGTGATGCAGTCAACATGGACTCTAAGAAACCCAAAAGGGTTGGCAAGAAAGGTAAACACATTGACTTAAGTAAAATTTCTGAAATTCCATTTCACAAAAGGGGCAACATTAGGGCACTTGCAATAGCATTAGGTGTTTCTAAGAGCACCATTCATAGGTTTATCAAAAGTGGTCAAATCAAGCCACACACAAATGCATTAAAACCAGCACTTACAGAAAATAATATCAAGGAAAGACTAAAATGGTGCCTCAAAGCCATTGATCAAGACAATGGTATGTTCAACGATATGTACAACACAATCCATTTAGACGAGAAATGGTTCTACATGACAAAAGGGACACAACGTTATTACCTACTCCCAGGTGAAACACAGCCTTATAGAACGTGTAAGAGCAAAAGATTTGTCACAAAAGTCATGTTCCTATGTGCCGTTGCTAGGCCACGATTTAATGCAGATGGAGAATGCATTTTTGATGGGAAAATAGGAATGTTTCCGTTTGTCAGGTGGGTGCCTGCAAAAAGAAGAAGCAGAAATAGGCCAGCAGGTACATTAGAGCTCAAACCAGTTACCTCAGTCACAAAAGAAGCTTATAGGAACATGTTAATCAGACAAGTGATCCCACCAATCATGCAAAAGTGGCCAGATAACGATCAAGGTCCAATCTATTTGCAACAAGACAATGCAAGACCTCACATAGAAGTACAAGACAGAGACTTCATGGAAGCTGTGCAAAATTCCAACAAAGACTTAAGGTTAGTATTCCAACCTCCGAACAGCCCAGATATGAATGTGTTAGACCTTGGATTTTTTAGGGCGATACAATCCCTCAAGGATCAAACAGCCCCAAAAAACACCAAGGAGCTGGTCAAGAATGTTAAAAATGCATTTAGGGAGTATTGTCCAACTAAAGGGAATAGAGTGTTCCTTAGTCTCCAATTGGTGTTAATTCAAGTGACGAGAGTAAAGGGGAGCAATAATTACTTGCAAAAACATGTTGGAAAAGAAGCTTTAGAGAGACAAGGACTACTTCCTATTGTTTTCTCTCCATCTCCAAGTCTTGTTGAAGAATGTTTGGCATATGTTGAAGCAATGCAGTAGACAATTTGAAGTGATGAACTTGCAACTTTTGGAAGCTAAAAAGTCAAATGATTAATTTTGTAAAGTTTTTGAAAGCATAATTGTAAACAATCAAAATAGCAGTACATTAGTGGAGAGATATTATATGAACCTCCCTAATACTTTTGTAAATTTTTTGTAAGCATCAATTATTAATGGGAAGATCAAGTACTAACATAAATTAGCTTGTCAATCAATTTACAGAGTACCTAATTCATTTACTACTACACCACCAAGTAAACAACACAATAACACTACGGAGTACATCTTCTAAGAGTACTCATTTTTTGCCTAACAATTACTCCGTACAACATCACAAGCACTAGATTGTACTCGGTACTTAATGGGAACATCACAACATGCATAGCTTACCAACATCACAAGCAGTAGATTAATACTCCGTACTTGATGGGAACATCAAATAAGAATAACTAACACAATAATCCACCACTATTCACTTCCGGAACTATCACCCATCATATGTCGTTCAATAATTGGGACATAACCCTTCAACATCTGAAAAATGTCTTCTTTTGATACATTACCTTTTCATTTTCTAGATTTCAACTTACCTTTCCCAGAACTTTTAAATTGACGTCCGCTGCTACATCGAATTAGCTTTGGAGCTACACACACAGGAGTGGTAGCCACTTCACGTTCTGGAGTGTCGGGAACAACCCACTCTCCGTGCTCTACCGAAAAAAACGCACTTGGAAGAAAAACGTCCGGTGGAGTAGTCACTTCACGCTCTCAAGTGTGGAGAACGTCTGGCGGAGTTTCAGGAACTATTGAAAATGGTTCTTCAGAATCATCGACCCAAATCCCAATTACATTAGAATTGGGGTAGATGAATGAGTCTTGATCTTTGTTTTTAGCTAAATCAGGATTAATTTAATGTTTTTCAGTATCATCCATGAGATTTTTTCTCAAATCTACAGTAATTTGTTTCATGATTTGGGGAAGAAGATGAATGGAAGAACCTTGAAAATGGGTTAAAATAATTTGGAGTGAGAAAGTGAAATAATTTGGAGTGAGAAAGTGGCGTGTGAAATTAGATCAGGGGGTATGGGTAGGGGGGTGGGGGGTGTAAATTTTTTATCATTTTTTTACAAAAGTGAAATAATAGTGGGCCATTGATATTTGAGATAAATATTAAAAAAATAGTGGGACCATGCCTTTTATAGAAATGTTGCAAGTAATTTGGGACGGCCTTATAAGGAAAGTGATGCAAGTAATTTGGGACGGAGGGACTATTAAAATTCTTTTCTTTCTGTTTTCGAAAACCCACTCTATTTTATGAAAACATCCAATCCAGTTTATTTTGGTCAATTATAAGGGTCAAATAATGGTGTAGTTGGATGGGGCTTGAAAAGACCTTTCCAACGATATATTATAAGCCCAATTCCGATGAATATTGAGGAAGTTATGGCCAAAATACTAAACTGGGCCCGGTTAATTATTTACATACGGCCCAATGATCTAGAGGAGGGCCCAATGTTAATTATTATTCCTAAAATTATTAGGATTAATTATAGCTTTCTAGAAGTTTCTAGAAGGTTCCTTTTAATTCTGATATTATTAGATTTAATAATTATTTTAAGATGGATTTTTATTTGGAATAAAATATTATTATTCTTATTATTATATTATTATTGAAAAATACGTTTTTATCTTCTGTACGGATTCCGTAGATCAAGTTGATTAAAGATCGGATTCCGCGTGGAAAAACGCGTCCAAGTTAGACTGTCGCCAAACGACAAGTCTGTCGCGTGGCGACAACGTGAATTTCTGGCGACAGCGTGTAGTTTTATTCCTAATCAAATTCTATACTTTTCCGGATTATTTTCCTTATAAATAGGGTCCCAAAACTCCGTTTTCATTCATTCACAATCACCCAATTCTCTCTATTCTCTCTTGAGCAATATATGCTTTCTTTCTCTCTCTCTTTCTAAGCTAGCCTTTTACAAACAATATTCCGCATACACAAGATTTAGAATCATCTAGCCAAGTTCGAAGTTGCCTTCGCCCTAGACGTGCAAGGTTTAATATTTTTTGAGGGTTTGGTCCAAATCTAGTCAAAACTTTATTTAATTTGATTTTGATTTAATTCTTTAATTTTATAATTTTCATTGAAGTTTACTAACTTGTGTATTTTGTTATTAGAAAGAGGTACGAGGCTTCAAAGTAAGTAGATTAGCTTACTCCCTATTTTATTCACAATGTAGAAAGCATGTTTATTAATGTTTAAATCCTAGTATCATGTTAGGATGTTTTTAATGCTTTCTAGTATCATGTTTAGGGTGCCTCTTATTATTTCTAATATCATGTTATCATATTAGGTTTAAAGCTTTGATCTTTATTGCTTAGTGACATGCTAGGATTTGTTATTAATCTTGTTAGTATCATGCCTAGGATCTTGCTATTATTATTAAGCTTTATTATACCTTATCATGATTATTATTATATTTATTATTATATTTATGTTGCTTATTATTATGTTGCTTGATATTATTTATATTATTGTTATTGCTTGATCACACCTTTTATGCTTGTTTAAAGGGAATTTGTACTTGGAATCACGCTTGATAAGATAATTAATAATTTGGTTTAGGCTAATATGATTTTAATTCAAGTGATCGCCAATAATAGTTTTATTTGTGCATTAATATTCAACCAACATAGATAAACAGGTTTAGGATTAATATAATGTTTGCATGTTAGTCAAAAAGCGCACATGAATACGAGCAGAACAAAGTAGAGGCCTATTTTATAGGGCGGGTCCTTTCTTTTGTAGATTGGATTCGTACCCTCATCCCCGAACCCTATTTGGTTCAAGACCTTATGGAGTTGACGATCTCTTAGATCGTTTTGGGTTTACAAGTTCCTAAAACTTGTTGGCGACTCTTTTGCTCTCTTTTCTTTCCCTTTGGAACGCCACTATACTTTAGTGTATGATCACAGTGGGGTTCAAGCTTGGGGTTATAGTGCTTGAAATATTCCCTACACATACGCTGGCCTCTCATCTTTGTCTTATTGATTAATTTAGAAGAGTAGAAATTGTTGGGTCTTTTCCCAGATCACCATTCCCCTCAATTCTATCTCTAAGTATGTCAAGTGGTTATATGTTGTTTTGTTCTATGCCCAACCTTGCCACAATCCTATTGATCCCTTTGTGATGCTCATTCACCCTATTATTTCCTCTCAGTTTTCTATCTTAGTGGATGCCTCTTTTAACAAAACCACCATTGAGGTGGGAATTGGAGGCATTTTCTATACTCCTTCTAAGGTGTGGAAAGGGGGTTTCCTACTACAACCCAAGGCTGAGGATGCCACTTTTGCTGAATTCATGGATGTTCTTGTTGCTGATACTTGGACAGATCAGTACCACGTACCAATGGCCTGGATGATGTGAATATATATGTTTCGATTCTAGGCGCAAAAAAATCAAAGACAAGTACTTTAATATTACTCATGTTTCTAGGGAATTTATTCCAAAGACAGTGTCTCCCAAAAAATTGGGTGACTCAGGCCTATCATCTAGCGCATCAACCTGATTAGGTGCATGGTGGGCATGATGTACGCTGGAGCTTAGCTGCTATAATCCCTTTTCTAGTACTTTAAACCCTTGCGTGGGTCTAATTAAGAACTTATGTATGGAACCTATGTCTGTAAAGTGTAAACTTTAACTCTAATGGGCTCCTAGCCCCCCTAACTATCCCCTGTACTGCTACTTCTTTTAGCCCAAGTTGGGCGTAATTAATTAATTAATCTACCTCCTTTAACAAAAAATACATATACATAAGCATGATATCTAAAAAAAGTGTTGTAACTCAATAATTAAAAAAGGAAGAAAATCACCCATCATATCGTAGATCCACTCCAAACCTTATTTTAACACAACTCAAATCAAAATTGATTCGGATCTACTTGCACTTATAGCCTAAACCTGAACTAAAAAGATTCACTTGACCTAACTCGACACCTATTTTAAAACGATCCATACTTGACTAGAGACTTAAATTCATATTCTCTTCTTAGGGCCTGTTCACATTTACTTAATTTCAGTTCAGTTCAGTTCAGCTCTAATCAGTTCAGTTCAGTTCCAATCAGTTCAGTTCAGTTTAGTTCAGCTCTTAATTTCCCTCTCACATAAAATATTCATTTTAGTTCAATTCAATTCAGTTCAGTTCCAATCAGTTCAGTAAATGTGAACAACCCCTTAGTTGACACGACTTAAACTTAACTTGATTATCATAATCAAATACTTAAAATCTTAAATGCATCTATTGAAAAAGCAAAAGATCTTTTGCCAACATTTGAGAATTAGAGAGCATTTTCTATTTTTCCAACTTATTTTTTTTTTTTTTTTTTTTTTTTTTTTTTTTTTTTTTTATCTATCCCCCATTACATTATTAAACACATGGAAAGTTGAGGACTTGAGGTGTTCAAAAACACTTTTGTCACATCCCCTCTTAATTCAAATCAAATCTTTTTCATAATAGTCCTTTTTTCAACTCTCCATCCCAAAATTTAGTAGCCGTTGTACCCCTCTTCTCAAAATTAAAATTGTACAGAGTACCATTACTATTTATTCAATCTAATTAATCCAGACAAATTACAAACTACAAAAAACCCCTCATTTTCATTAGATTTGGTAACCCCTTTCCTATATTTAATCCACTCTAAACTTCCTTTTTCTTTAAATATCTGGGGTTTTCAAAGATATCTCCTTTTTTACGTTAAATATCACCAAATTTCTCCCTTTTTCTGGGTTTCCTCTGCACAATCTGAACTGGGTTTTTTTTCTAAATTTGTAATTCATATCTGGGTTTTTATTATTAATCAAACAGCACCCTTTTTTGAGTAAGTTTTTAGCGGTTGAGTAGTAATTTTCACTAATTTTCTTTCTATATTATTTTATTTTTGTAATTTTAAAATATTAATATTGAAGTAACTGGTAAGTTTTTATTGGATTTCATTGATATTTGTAACTTATAAATCGAAATTTTTTCTTTCTAATTCAACACATTAACTTCACGATCTCCATTTTTTTGGGGAAAACCAAAGTTGGAGAGAGAATAATCCCAGAATTCTCGCCGACTCATTGAGTCACCGACCCACTCACTTCTATATATAAACCGTTTTCTTGTCAAATTCTTTCCTCATTTACTCTCAGCTAGTAATTTTTTTTCTCCTGAAAATTGAAGTAAAACCCACAAAAATCATACATTTTTATTCATTTCTCACATTTTATATTGTTTTCCACGGAATTTCAGATTTATTCAACCAATACCCATTTCCAAAAAAAAAAAAAAAAAAAAAAAAATAAAAAACCCATTAATTTTTTTTATTGAAAAAATGTGGGTTAATTTTGGAAGTTATTTGATGATTTGGGTATTTTTTATAATGTTATGGAGTGATAATAGTAAAGTTGAAGGGCTTGGAGTTAATTGGGGAACACAAGCCAATCACAAATTACCTCCAAATACAGTGGTACAAATGTTAAAAGATAATGGGATTCAAAAAGTGAAGTTGTTTGATGCTGATGAATCTACTTTGAGTGCTTTTAGTGGTACTAATATTGAAGTTATGGTTGCTATTCCTAATGGTGATTTAAATGCTATGCTTGATTATAAACGAGCTCAAAAATGGGTTGAGAAGAATGTCACACGTTACCATTTTAGAGGTGGTGTTAATATCAAGTAAGTCTCTCTTTCTTCCATCCATCTATTAGTTCGTGTTCGTGTTGAAGTTTGGGTGTATTGTATACAACATACTTAGTCACCCCTCGAATCACATAAAAGTTTACTTTTTGGGCGGTTAACATTTATTTATGTGATTTAGAGTTGCCGACCTTGTTGTATACAATACATCTATGGTGTACAAATTGTTTAGTTATGTCACGCAATATAATACACCCGTGGTATACAAGATTTTAGCGGCTAATTCTATAGTGGATCTGAAAAAGTGGAAAGTGGGAACTCTTTTTGGGTTTACTTTGCATCTTTTTGGTTGATTGTGATTCTTGATCTACTTGCCATGTGATTTGTGATTATGAAGCTGAGTTTTATACGGAATATGTTGGAAAATTGCATCATCTTTTGCCCCATTTGATATGCTGATATATATATTCTTTAACCGACCATCATGTGATTGTGATAAGGTCCTTAATTAGAGAGTTTCATGATCCTAGAAATATGATTAGTGACATAGATTAATCAACCTAGATTAGTTAATTATTTGACTAATATATAGTATAATAATTTTTTGAATCACTTTTATCTGTATTATTGTATTACTGTTCTTGCCTTTGAGTAAGATTATGGGGAGTTGGGGACCATTAAATCTAGTTTTTGTTTGCTTTCATTTGAAGGATGTTTTTAATTGCTTCAAAACTTCTTTTACAAGCATTTATTTGGTTCATTTATTTAGTAATTAAGTAAAGCTTGGTTCATTTAGAAGTGATTAAAGAAATATTTAATGATGATTAGATTCTAAATTACCTGAAGTTTGTCCTGAGAGTGTTAACAGTAGATATTTGAATCACTTTAAATGCATTTAGAAGAATAAAGCTACTGTATAGGAGAGTTATAAGCTTAAATTTTCGACTGTCTGATTCGATTTGTGCTATTTGCAAACCTCCCTTTGAACTTGAATGCATTTTTGGCTGTCTGCTGTTTCCTGGGGCAATTGTCTGCAAGTAATTACAGTAAAAATAACTCAGTAAGAAACAAAATCTTTTCTCGGCTTCATGTTTGTTTTCTCTGGATGAATATAACACGGACTGGATTAAGGGAAATATCTGAGCAGTTGCCTTCCAATGATGGGAATTTTTTACCCCTGATACAGATTACTGAGGCGGTTATTGGCGCGTAAAAGTGAACTCTACAAACTGTAATAATCACACAAATTTTACTGTAATTGGTTGTGTTTCTAGAGGCTTAATTGGCTAGAATGATCATTGTTATTAAGCCTGACATAATGTGTCCTTGCTTTTTAAACTATCTACTGATGATTGAACGCCTAACTGGTATATGAACAGTTGGGTTGTGCTCTATAATGACTTTTATGGTTTTTAATAAGCATTATAATGTAAGAATGTCGATACATCTTCACATTTAACGCTAATTTTTGTGCTGCAGATATGTTGCTGTTGGAAATGAACCTTTTCTAAAATCTTACAACGGCACATTTGAGAATGCTACTTTGCCCGCCCTGAAAAATATTCAAAATGCTCTTAATGAAGCCGGAGTAGGAAACATTGTAAAGGCAACTGTGCCCCTAAATGCTGATGTCTACGAGTCACCACAGGGAACTCCTGTACCTTCAGCTGGAAGATTCAGACCTGATGTAGCTGATCTCATGACCCAGATGGTCCAGTTCATGAGCCAAAACAATGCTCCTTTCTCCGTCAATATCTACCCTTTCCTCAGTCTGTATGGTAACCCTGATTTTCCAGTAAATTATGCATTCTTTGATGGGGGAGGTGAGCCTATTCAAGATAATGGGATCCAATACACTAATGTTTTTGATGCCAACTTTGACACATTGGTTTCGTCCTTAAAAGCAGTAGGGTTTGGGGACATGCCAATAATTGTCGGGGAGGTTGGATGGCCCACGAATGGTGATGTTAATGCCAATATTAACAATGCTGTCAGATTCTATCGAGGCCTACTGCCTAGACTTGCAGCTAACACTGGCACTCCTTTGAGGCCTGGAAATATAGAGATGTACTTGTTTGGGCTCCTTGATGAGGATGGAAAGACTGTTGCTCCAGGGAACTTTGAGAGGCATTGGGGAATTTTCCGGTATGATGGGCAGCCAAAATTCCCTATGGATCTCACAGGCCAAAACAGGGATGTCTATCTTGTTGGTGCAAAGGATGTCAAATATCTCGAGAATCAATGGTGTGAATTCAACCCGAATGCCAAGGATATGAGTAAGCTACAAGAGAACATGAATTATGCTTGCACTTTTGCGGATTGCACACCTCTGGGGTATGGATCCTCTTGCCAGAACATGGACACCAATGGGAATATTTCGTATGCGTTTAATGTGTACTTTCAGACCCAGAATCAGAACCTCGAGGCCTGCAACTTCCAAGGCTTGGCTAGGTTAACTATGAAGAATATCTCAACAGATACTTGCAATTTTACAATTCAGATAGCCTCCTCTGCTCTGAGGACTGCTGTACCTGCGGCTTTCTCTTTGATCATCACCGCACTGATGTATCTATTCCTTTGAGTTCGATCTTGTGGATATAATGATTCTGCCATTCTTTTGCTTTCATATGCTTGGTCTGTCTGTTTCTGTATTCTGAGATTTTGATACTAGAATAGAACTTTATAGGGTATTTTTTGATGATTTATATAGAATGTCAGCTGCAGATAGTTTTTACCAGGATAGTGTAATCTGAGTTGACAATGTTACAGTTGCTTACTCAATCCCACATGCTTCAGTACAATAGTATATTTTTTTATACCCGTTTGTTGAGTTGATGTTCAATTTAAGTACATATTCACAGAATTATGATCGTTACAAGTTGATCCTATAAGTTTGTTACTGAATAAAATGGTTCATTTAGGCTGAAAATTACAGGATCAGATTAAACAACTGGGCCGGAAAAGCAGACTAGAAAGTGCACCCCCATCCGGCCATCCCCTTGAGTCACTCTCACGGGCTTCTTCAATGACCGCCTTTCTAAGCTTCTATAGGCAAATATAACCAATTGAAGCACTCTGCACACGAAACAAAAATTATGGACCTATTTTACTGTCAACAAGCTTGAATCTTGATAACAGTTGTGCTAGAATTTAGAGCTATTTTATACAGTATTGACTAAGTAACTAAACAATAATACTACACGAGAAACAAGATTTATTTTTATCAAAACAAAGCGGGTAATATTGGGCTAGTGGACCTTGATAATGGGTCAAACCATTGAAGAACGTGGGAGTTGTGAAAATTGTGATAATGGGTCAAACCATACGAGTACCAGTTACCATCGTGCATGACTGCATCTGTTCTTGTAAATTGTACTCCGTAACTTGTTCTGTTTTATTTTGCTGGATAGATTCTTTTACTGTAAGTGACTATATCAACTTGTAAGTTATACAATATGTAGTAATTGTACAAATCGATTCATGTTGTTTTGTCTTCTCGATTCAAATCCTCAAACTTAGGACTGTGTGACATTTCATGTACCACTAAGGGCATATTCGGCAAAATGTAGCTGTAAAGGTGACTGTTAAGAGTATTCACCATGATAGTAGTTGTTGCTGTTGGAGTAAGGCCTTGTTTAGTTCACCTTATTTATACTTATTTCAGAAAAAATAAGTTCATATCGGATCAGAAAAAATAAGTTCAGATCAAATCATCGTTTTATGTGAAGTTCTTTTTTTTTATTTTTTTTATCGCTAAATAGCTGTAATTTAGTAATGCATGAAAAATATTATGAAAATTACATAATAATAAAATATAAATTATTTCGAATCTAACAAGATCCCACTTGATAAATTTTTTTATTATTGATTATGGTATATTTAAGGTCAAAGTTTGGTCAAATATGACATTCAGATCAGATTAAACCAGACCAGACCATATGAGATCAGACCATATCAAATAAGTTCAGATAAGCAAAAATAAGGTGGACCAAACAAGCCTTAAATGGAGTAGCTGTTAATAAGTTGTTAGCTGTGAAGATAGCCAATTAAGTATGGATGTTTCGATATGAAATAACCATGGAAAAGAGGGAAATATTAGTCAACAACAATTCCAATGCAAATAACGCAAGACAAACCTATCTCAAAAATCAACGAAATATATATGAAATAAGGGTTCTTAATCGCCAAACACCAAGTAAAGCTAAGATTATAAAGTAACCATAAATATTACAAAGTAGCAATCACGGTAATAGCAAATAATCACCAAGATTACGAAGAGAGAAAATCTCATTGATTTCAAAATTAAGCAAAATATGTTTCAAAAGAACTAGCTTAACCCCTATATACTCCCTCCGTGTTTTATTAAGTGTTACACTTACTAAATGTGGCCGTATTATTATTAAGTGTTACACTTCTCTCTCTCTCTCTCTCTCTCTCCCTCTCTCTCTCTCTCTCTTTTTTTTTTTTTTTTTTTTTGGCAAAAAATTACATTTTAATATTTTATCTCTCTCCTCTCATGGTCATCACCTAAACCCACTTACCTCTTATTTTATTTAAGTCAATTAATTTGCCTAAAATTATGTGCCGATCGAATTGTAACACTTAAAAAAAATGAAGGGAGTGTTTAGGGTAAAAATTACCCATGACAAATGGACCAATCCGGACCTGCCACGTGTCCACCACGTGGGCCAATCAGCGTCCGCCATTTTTCACCCTAAGAGGTCCAACATGGACTAATCAGGCCACGCCACGTGGCCTCCCATATGCCAAATAGGCAAAATGGCCACCAAGGCCCAAAGTTCGAGAGAAGCCCAATTTGCCCTGGTTAACCTAAACCTAAAATTGGCACGCTTCTCAAGACTATAAATACTTAATTAATCCTCATTAAAGGGGATTCAGCAATTGATGACTCTCACCTAGAGAAGTCTAAACACATTGATCACTCCTCCCCTAGAGGAACCAGATCTCCCACCTTTACTTTCCGCATTTATCACTCCTCAAACAAGTACTAACTTGACCGTTGGAGGCGGAGCTCCCACCACAAGGAGTCTCCGTTGTTTTGCAGGTACAGGCGCAAGGATACCAGTCCCGGAATTGTAACTCTCCCGCAGGACATCAGAAAAACCCGAAACATTTTGGCGCCGTCTGTGGGGATTGTCAATTGTTTCCGCTGCAATTACCGTGAGGAAGCTCTTACCCAAGGTGAATCTTAATTACTGAGTAAATTCTGGAAGAAGTCGTTTGTGAGCTTCTAACCAGGCGGACTTCTCCTCATGCCAAGCATCTATTTGATATAGGCGGCATCAAAGGCTGCAAGCAATCAAAGGCTGCAAGCAATACATCAAGCGGATCTCCAACTCAGTCCCAGCTAGAGGCACTAAAACAGCCGGCCTTCCCAATGGTTTTGTTAAATGCATCCAGTCGCTAAAAACAGCCGGCCTAGTATCAGCCAACTAGGCGGCAATAATGATTAAATCAGGTGGCCCTTGCAACCAAAGCAATGATTAAACGACTAGTCATGTAAAAACAAGCGGCACCCTATTGAGGATTGTCAATTGTTTCCGCTGCAATTACCGTGAGGAAGCTCTTACCCAAGGTGAATCTTAATTACTGAGTAAATTCTGGAAGAAGTCGTTTGTGAGCTTCTAACCAGGCGGACTTCTCCTCATGCCAAGCATTTGTTTGATATAGGCGGCATCAAAGGCTGCAAGCAATACATCCGGCCAGCTCCATATATGCTCACCCAACATTTATAATGCCATATGTATTTCAATTCAAATGAAACTTTTTCCAGCTTGCATCATATGCGGGTCAACTAGTGGGTCTTGGTCTGGCTGAAACAAAACCGAAAACCAGCCGTAAAAAACAAGAGTTAGGTGCATGAATAGCAGCCGGCCATCTCTACGCAACATTAGTTAGCTCTTGATAAAACATCCGGCACTTTTAGCATTTGAGAGCAGGCGACATTATAGAGTTAGTCGGCATTCGGTCAGCCAAACAGCCGGTGCTCGTCGAGGGTAGCCTTGAAAAACCGGCTATATGTATTTAAAGCAAGAATGCCGTGAATAATTACACAATCACAAGTGCTCCTCAAGATTACAGCCGGCCATACCCAAAAAACCATTGTGCTCGGTTTACTTGAGGTTCAAAAACGGCCTCGGCATGCGAGCATCTATGATCTTTGCTATTGTGATAAGACCAGCCTGCTCTATATGATGTTTTATCATGGTATAACCGCATGGTTTTTGCTCAAAAATATAATGCCAAGTATACTTGATACAAATGAGTTTGGTTCCAGCTTGATCTTCCAAAAGTAAACAGCCAACATACTCGCACATATAAACCTCAAACCTCACGGCCTGCCGAGAGGAGTAGCGCTTGGCTCGTAGTAATATAATCGGCCATGAGAGTGAATGCTTAAACTTGTTCATGTGCTAATTCTCTTATTGTGAAAGCTGGGCATTGGCGTCTCGCCCAAGAAAGCAGGCGGCTAAATGGCGGCTAAAACAGTCGGCACTTGGTTGAAAAGGCATGAGCTCAAACTCAAACTCAAGTAAAATGCAAGTAAAATGTTGAACTCAAACTCTCGGTTGCCGGCTGCGCACCTTGGTTATTAATGGTGTCCGAAACCGTTTAACACCAAAAAGTTCCTTGTTTGAGAATGTGCAAGACGATATCTCAATGTCGAACTTCAAGCTAGCTCTAATAAAGCAGCATATGCGAGAATGAGAGAATGTTATGCATGGCTGGATACGCAAGATGGGTATGGACGCCTGAATTTGAGAAGTCGTTTGTAAATTTTCAGAATAGGCGGCCCTCGTTGCCAGTCCACCATTGAGGCGCCCGCACAAGCCAAGCCGGCCTTAGGCTACAGCCGGCATTAGTGGTTGAGCACAGAGATGCACCTAGCTAGTCAAGCCTTTGGCTGTTTAACTACACCTAGTGTCCTCACTAAACTAATGAAAGCAGGCGTCAAAATACAAGGCTCCCAACTGCCTCACTACAGCCAGCTTTATGACACCTATGCTTGAACAACCGGCTCCTAGGCATCGTTCCTCAAAGCCAGCAGGCGGCAGCCGGCCCCAACCCAGCCACTAAGCACCCGGCCTGCCAGCTCTAAACAGCCGGCTGTTACACGAAAGAAATTATCATCAAGAAAATTATCATGGGTACGAGTACAAATAGCATCATTATGCTAAGCCCAACATCATCATGATCATGCATCGTGATTTTGAAGCTGAGAAGATTGGATGTCTTGCCAAATGAAAGCAAGCGGCATGCCGAATGTCTGGTGGTATGATTATCATGGTTTCGTAGCCTTGGTTTAGGCGACCTCAATCATTATTATGATAAAAAAAAATAAAAAATAAAAAATGCTGCCTAACAGTATGGCTAATTGTCATTCTCATGCATGAGAATAAGACAAAAACATAAGATCCTCTCAAAAAATATTGCCTAAGTCTATCAAGCAAGAGAGGCGGCATGAATAGTAGTCGGCCCCCTATACGACGAAGTCTCGTAGCTATGAAAGCAGTCGACCCTCATTAATTTCACTAAGGGGCTAAAGACCGGCGGCAAATGTGTAGGCCGAGCAGCGAGGTCGCAAACCACATTAACAAGTTTAGCACGACCACCTGTCCCCATTCGAAGAAAGTAGAGTCATCAATCCTCCATGGAAGGGAGCTAAGTGATCTATCTACTCTAACACTTGAAATTATTTCAATACTTGATACTAATTCAGAGGGGCATGCCGCCTGTACCTTTACAGTCGGCTACTCTCCATTGATTATATCACTATATCATCAGAGGGGCATGCCG